GCTAAGACATGGAGTAAATTTTGAAGAGGAAATAGACAGGTTTTTAATTAGTATTGGGTTGAAGGTTTTATAGAGAGTATGCAGGAAAGTAGGGTTGAGGCCAAGGTAAGATCAGTTATGATTGTATCAAATGGTGGAGCAGGCTCGAGGGGCTGAATTGCCTAATCCTGCTCATAATTTTTATCTTCTTAAATTTCCTTTGAGGAGTTAGGGGATATAGAAAAACCCGAAAGAATTGCTGATGTTATAAATCAGAAACAAAACCGAAATTGCTGCTCAGCAGGTCTGGCAGCATCTGTGGGGAGAAATCAGAGATAACACTTTGGATCTAGTGACCCTTCGTGAGAACACAGTTGGCGGACATAATGGAGATGTATAAAATTATGACAGGCATAGATAGAGTATACAGGAAGAAACTTTCTTCTTGATGGAAGGATCAATGACGGGCATGAAGTAAGGGGCCGAAGGTTTCGAGGAGATGTGGGGGAAAGCTTTTGCACCTAAAGGGTGGTGAAAATCTGGAAACCATTAACTATAAGAGTGATGGTGGCAGAAACCTTCATTAAATTTAAGAAGTATTTAGATGATGCATTTGCAATTCCAAGGCATACAAATCTATGAGCAAAGTTCTGGAAAATGAGATTAGAATAATTAGGGTATCATTGAAGATTAACAGTGGTGCTTCTACTACCTCATTAGCAATATCTTTTAAAACCTTTAGGATGAAGTCCATCTGGATCTGGAGAACTGTCAGCCCACAGCTTGGTCAATTTGCTTAGTACCTCTCCTTCGTGACTGTAATTTTGCAAAATTCCTCTTTCCCTTCCAATCCCTGATTTAAAGCTATTACTGAAGTGTTTTTTGTATCCTTTATGGTGAAGACAGAAGCAAAATATTTGTTTACTTCATATGCCATCTCCTTATTATCCTTATTAATTCCCTATTTGCACTCTCCAGAGGACCAACGTTCGCTTCACTTACTCTTTTCCTTTTTAAATACCTAAAGAAACTCTTGCTATCCATTTTACATTCCTAGTATCATCTTCTTATATTCTCATTTCTTCCTCCTGATTAACCTTTTAGTCATTCTCTTGTGTTCTTTATTTTCTAACCAATTGTATGACCTGCTACTCATTTATGCACATTTAAGTTTGATGCTTTCCCTAATTTTTTTAGTTAACTATAGATGGTGAGTCCTTCCTTTAGAATTGTTTTTTATAGTAGGAATATATTTATTCTGAGCATTCCAAAATATCCCCTGAAATTCCTCCACTGTGGCTTTATTGATCTGTTGCCTAGCCTAGTATGTCAATTCACTTCAACTAGTTCAGCTTTCTTACCTTCGTAGTTGCTTTTATTTAGGTTTAAATTACTAGTCTTAGACCCGATTTTCTCTTACACTGGTTGGAAAATTCTGTCATACTGTGGTTACTTCTAGCTAGAGGTGCTTTAACTCTGAGATCATTCATTAATCATGTAACGTTACACATTATCAAATCTAATATGACCTGCTCTTTGATCAGTTCCAAAATGTGCTGCTCGAAGAAACTATCTCAAAAGCATTTTCTGAACCTCCTCATTGTGGACACTACTATTAATCTGGTTTTTCCAGTTTAATTATTGCCATCCCTTTATCACAAGCACCCAGTGTTTATTTTTGTATACTTTGTGCCACTTGTGGCTATTGTTGGAGGTACATGTAGACTACACTCACTAGTGATGACTTTTACCCTTCTATTCCTCATCTCCACTCAAAATGGTTCTGCACCTGATCTGAAGCAAGATGAATGGGGAAGATTCAACAGCCAACAAAATAAGCTAAGAAAACTTTGCAATTTCTGAAATTATCTGAGTTTATAAATGAGTAAAACGCTCACCAACCAGTCAACTACTTGTTTTCCTATGATGTCGCTTTTGAATTTTCTCATACTTGGCTGATTTGCTTTGGAATGACAGAACGTATTGGACCTCTGCTGTTCTCCTCATACTCTTTTATATTGTGTCTCCACCACTGTCACATGTCCTTTCTCCATACTTTGTCTGTTGTTGGACCTACATTTACATCCTTGGAACATTTGCAGTTTTCTAATCTGGCACTATCTCAAAGTCCAAGAGGATTGAAAGATATTGGTCAGTGCTCTGCAAATTCCAGTCTCATATCCTTCAGTATCTTTGGATCTGCTGTCCCATCTGATGCCAGTGCTTTATCCACTTTTAAGTACAGCAGCCTATCCAACAGTATTTTTATATCCATTTTAAATCATTCATGTGTGTGGAGAGCACCTTCCTTGCTATAGACAGAAGCAAAGTACTAATTTGGTACTTTGGTCATGATTCAGCCTACTTGCATAATCCCATTTTGTGGCTCTACTCCTCCTTGTCCCACCATTTTACCACTTATAAGGTGCGAAGACCATTGGATTATTTTCATTGTTAGCTACCAGTCTCTAGTATTCACTGTTTTTTTCTTACCTTTTTAGGTTAAGGGCTAGCGCACTGTTCTTGGAACTCCAAAGTGGTGGTGTTGTTTGTCTGTCAAATTGGTTGTGTCTGTATTGTGATTTATTTGTAAACTGTAGTCTGCCTGGAAATGATTGGATGAAATTGCATTTTCCATGTAAAATGTTTGCAATGCGTTATCCTTCCATCATCTGTTGGTGAGAATAAACCTGTTATTTGCAGTGGTGCTGCCAGTAAGCAAGCCATGAAATGGCGACCTGGCAACATCCCTTAATGTGCAGTAATTCTCCAGTATCCTTAGTTGGTCATAGAATCATATAACACAAAAGAGGCCCTCTGGCCATCAAGTCTGCAATAGCCTATCTGAACTACTACTACTTTTCAGCGCTTGACACATAATCTTGCATGTTTGTACATTTCAAAAGCTCATTCATGTACTTTTTAAAGGTTGTGAGGTTTCCTGCCTCTACCACCATTCCAGGCAGCGCATTCCAGACCTCAGCCACCCTCTGGGTGAAATTGTTTTACCTCAAATCCCCTGTAAACTTCCTGCCCTTCACCTTGTAAGTGTGACCTGTCCATTATTGATCCTTCATCTAAGGGGAATGGCTGTCCATGCCCTTCGTAATCATATACACCTCCAATCAGACCCACACCTCAATCAGGTCCACCCTCAGCCTTCTCTGCTCTAAAGAAAGCAACTCAAGCCTATCCAGCCTCTGTCCATTGCTAAAATGCTCTGTCCTAGGCAATATTCAACTCCCTCTAAACCTGCACCTCTAAAGGTGAGGTGCAATGAGACCTGGGTGTCATGGTGGAATGGTTGCTGAAGGTTGACACGCAGGTGCAGCAGGTGATGAGGAAAGCTAATGGTATGCTGGCCTTCACAGCAAGATGATTTGAGTAAGGATGTCTTGCTGCAGTTATACAGGCCTTGATGAAGCCATACCTTATGTGCATATTACGTGCAGTTTTGGTCTCCTAGTCTGAGGAAGACATCCTTGCTATTGAGGGAATCCAGCGAAGGTTCACCAGATTGATTCCTGGGATGGCAGGACCTGACATATGAAGAAAGACTGGATCGACTGGGCTTGTACTTGCTGGAATTTAGAAGAATGAGGGGAAATCTCATGGAAACATATAAAATCCTGTACAGGCTAAGTGTGGGAAGAATGTTCCTAATGTTGGAGAAGTCCAGAACAAGGGGTCACAGCCTAAGAATAAGGGGTACCATTCAGGTCTGAGATGAGGAAGAATTTCTTCACTCAGAGTTGTGAACTTGTGGAATTCTCTTCCACAGGAAGCTGTTGGGGCCAGTTCATTAGACACATTCAAGAGGGAGCTGGACATTGCCCTTGGGGCTAAAAGGATCAAGGGATTGGGAGAAGAGGATGGGAATGGGATACGAGATTGCATGATCAGCCATGATCGTATTGAATAGTGATGTAGGCTCAAAAGAGCTGAATGGCTTACTCCACCTATTTTCTATGTTTCACACTATGACCACCCCAGTTAATCTTGGGAAAATTCAAATCCCTATCACTGCCTTATATTTTCACACTTAATTAAGTTAGTTGGTGATTAAAAACAAAAGTTCCTGGAAAAGCTCAAAGGTTACCGGATCTGAAACGTTAACTCTGATTTTTCTTCATAGATGCTGCCAGGCCTGCTGAGCTTTTCCAGCAGCTTCTGTTTTTGTTCCTGATTTACAGCATCTGCAGTTCTTTCAGGTTTTTAGTTGATGAATACTTGGCCTCTCCTCAGACAAAGTCAACCCTGGCTCTGTGCTAGTTTCCTGAGGCCAACATGATAACAATTTGCATTTGCTATAGCAACATGAAATGAGATAAATATTACCACTTGAATTAAAGTGAATTAAAAAAACAAATTATTGAGGCTGTTGGTCCTTAAATATGGACTCAAATATGATGCAGACAAATGGCTTAAACTCCATTTGAGTACATTATCAATCATCATTGTGGTATGGTGTGTTTCCTACCCTACACCAGTAGCTCAGTGAGTAAGTGCCTCAGTGCAGAGTAAAAAGCTTTTTGGTTTCATTCCTAGTCTGTGCTAGATTCATTGCTCTCAGTAAGGAAACTGCAATTGCTTTCATTGCCCATGGACAAGAGGGAGGAGAAAAGTCAACTGAGTTTGCAGCTCCTGTTTGCAGTCCATATTTGTAAGAAGTAGATTTGTTTGTTGCTAAAGAAAATTGCAACCTGAATACTTGACAGGCGACACAGTTAAGTGGAGAAATACACACTTTAACAACTAATTCAGAAGGAAGAATGACACTGCTCTCACTTTTGACATTTGATTTGGTTTTGATTGTCCGTTCTGAGACTTCACCTGAATCTGGAACCTGTCTTTCCTTTTTCACTTGTTGCAATTTGTAGTTTCAAACATTTTGCATTTGGAAGTACATTTTGGAAAGGTGGCAAGGATAAAGTAGATTTTATGATGTGTGAACAGATTTCTTTTGGATGAGATTTAACTGTGATGTAAAATGTCTAATTTTGTTGTTTCTGCTGTTTCAGACACTGCGGGAGATCGTGGTTGGGGTACTACAGCAGTTAAACAGTCAGCTGCATTGAGTTGCCAGGTGTTTATCATTGCTGGACTGAGAGCAGAATTATACTCTGGAATTTCTAGAAATATGATATGAGCTCTGATATCAGTGAAAAATTAATATTGAAGCAAATGGCTGAAACAGTTTGCACTCTTTATTCTAATTAAAGATGTGAATTGACATTGACGCTTTGAAAATGTTCAGAAAAACAAATAGGTTAATTATAAGGCCATGTGAGGGACTTGTGGCATAGTTGATAGTGCCCCTGTCTCTAGGCCAGTAGGATCATGTTCAAGTTTTACCTGACCTGGAGGTGTGTCATGAAAAAAAATTAATCAATTTGTTGTAAGAAGTTAAAGCTTTGTGCCCTTGAGAGTGCTCTGCCATTTAATAAGATCATGGCTGATCTTTGGTCTCAACTCTACTTTTCCAACTTACTCCCATGTATCCTGATCTCCTTAGAATCCAAAAATGTAGTAATTACAGATTTAAATACCCTTAACAACTGAGCATTCCAAGCTCTGTCAGCTTGAGAATTTCAAAGATTCACAACCCTTTGAATGAAGAAGTTTCTCATCTCAGCCCAAAAAAGCTCTTCCCTATCTGAAACACTTCAGCCGAAGGAAATAGCCTCAGCACTTACCCGCTCAAACCCTGTTCTGATCCCGAAAGAGATAATTAATTTTAAGGAAAATTAATTCCTGTGACACTAGGACAGGATTTCACTTTACAAAACATTAGCAAACCAGGTATAGTTAGCATATTTCAAACATTAATCAATAGGTAAAAGACATTTCAAATATGAAAAGGAAATTTAATTTTAAATATTTGATACTGCAGAAACAAACTGACAAGCCCACACAAGCATGGGATTGTGTGCAATCTCTGTTTTTCAAACTCGACTTCCATTTTGTAGGATTTCTTATTTCTCTTCCAGTTATTTTGGCTATTCAGTTACATTTGCTAGCAGTCTTATTCCATTTGAAGCCCCGTCACGCACACTGTTGCCACAGCAGAGGCCTTTGCCTATGGTCAGTTGCTCTAGGCAAGGCATCTTGAGGTTTGCTACCACTTCGATGATATGCCTGTCACGTCCTTTGTGTGTACAACCTTGTTTTAGTTTAAAGTCATCTTTGTTCAATGGTCAAATATACAAACAGATCAACAGTGCACCAATGGGGTCATCCATCTTGGGACTCATCACAGAAGCAGTCATTGCAAAGACTAGAACACACTATCTTCCCTCACATTCAGCCTAAACTGTGGATCCAGTACATAGATACGCATTTGTCATTATTAAACGCAACAAATTAGAAAGGACCCACCACCTTATCAACAGCGATTCACGGGGATTAAATTCACAAGGAAAGAAGAGCAACAATCAACTTCTGTTTCTGGATGTTAAAGTAGATTGATTCACGAAAGGGGTGTTCCAAACCTCAGTATACAGAAAAGCAACCCATACGGATCAAATCCTCAACTTCTACAGCAACCACTCCAAAGTCCACAAACAAAGCTGCATTAGGACACTATTTAAATGGACCAAGACACACTGCAACACTCCAGAACTAAGCAGAAAAGAGGAAGAACACTGATACAAGATCCTCACTTTAAATAGATATCCACGCAACTTCATCCACAGATGCCTACAAAATAGAAAACAGAAGGATACAGTACGACTTAACACACTGATCACACTGCCCTACATCAGGAACATATCAGAACTGACAACAAGGTTCCTAAGACCACTAGGAATCATGGTGGCCCACAAGCCCACAGACACTCTACAACAAACACTTACAAGGATTAAAGACCCCATTCCCACAACATGCAGAACGAACGTGGTTTACAAAATACCATGTCATGACCGCCACAAACATTATATTGGACAGGAAGGAAACTAGCCGTCAGAATACATGAACATCAGCTAGCAGCAAAACAATGTGACAAATTCTCCTTAATATCGATTCATTCAGACAATGAAGGCCATCAATTTAACTGGGACAAGGTAACCATACGCCCAAGCCAAACAGGCATGCATGGGAATTCCTAGAAGCACGGTTCTACACGCATGCTTCAATCAACAAACATATAGAATTGGACCCCATATACAAACCTATACAGATCAAAACCGGAAATGACAGTACTGACCATAACGGACTGGACAGTATAAATTCCAAGTGGAATAGAATAACATTGCTTCATCAGAGGCTCCACTGATGATGGCACCTAGCATGGTGATGAAACGTCTGAACAAAAACAAGCCAGCTCGGCGAGCAAGTCAACAACCTCAAACAGTAAACTGTCAGAAATGTTTAATATTATTTGGGAACTTGGTTCTAAAGTAAAATTAAAATGAATTTTTTTGATTTTAGTAATGGTATGACCTGTTTAAGAAAGAGGCAAAAGTCAATTGGAATACTGAGTTGAAGAAGGCTTTGCCAATAAATCATGTGACTTAAGATAAATGACAATTTGAGTTACTAGGTTAGATCATAGCTAGGTGTTTACTACAGTGAAACGTCTGTGATCTGTAGAGGCAGGTTGCCAGAAGCGACAAGTAGGTTGAGCTTAGGAGAACAGATTAGTTTGTGGAAGTCTTTAGGCCAGAGCTGGAAAGTCTTAAGATGTAGCAGCCTCAAAGTAGGCAAAGTCAAGAGAAAAGTCAGTTCATTTGCCTTTCTCTGTCTTGTGGAAAGACAAAACAGAATCCTCGTGGATGTACAGAAAATCGCTGAAAGGAAACCTTTCAGAGATCTTCCCATTTCATTAAGAAATTCTAAAGTGAAGGTGAGAGTGATACTTAACAGGAGTTGAGTGAATTAAAAAATATTGCTTGGAAAAAGAGTTGAATTCTTTTTGCTGTTTATGACATCTTTCAAAATTTCTTTACTTTATGTAATAAATGTCTGTTCTTTTATTTAAAGTACATTGACAGCCTCGTGTGAATATATTCATTGACTTACCACTATAGCAATCAAATTGCAAAACTAACATTTGCAGTCTATTAAGCCAAGTCTAACTCTGGAATCAGCTTTGTCTGGTATAACCATCAGTTAGGATCATAATAAGTTACATTCAGATAGAAGCTTACATGTTTCTCTCACTAGAATTATCTGCTTTTCCTGTTTGGCAGCTCAGGACACTGTCTGAAACCTGATCTGTTTATCCCCATGGCAGTCCCTGGTCACATTAGAACATAGAACCATACAGCACAGGAACGGGCCCTTCAGCCCACCATATTGTGATGAATATGACGCCAAACTAAACTAATCCCTTCTGCCTGCCCTTGGTCCATATCCCTTCATTCCTTGCATATTCATGTGCTTATCTAAGTGTCCCTTAAACGCCCATATCGTATTGATGGCTATTTCTTGTAATTATATATTAAGGAAATCAATCAGCCCTCTTTCAGAATACAAAAAGACATACCACTCCCGTACATCTCAGTTGTCCTCGTTTTTCAAGGACCGTAACATTCCCCCCTCAACTCATCCCTCACACCCCATCCACACAATAAGAACCAAAAAAGAATCCCCCTCATCCTCATGTACCACCCCACCAACCTCAGGATCCAACGCATCATCCTCCGACACTTCTGCCATCTGCAATCCGACCCCACCACCAAAGATATCTTTCCCTCCCCACCCTTATCTGCTTTCCTGAGGGACCACTCTCTCCGTGACTCCCTTGTCCGCTCTACACTCCCCTCCAGCTCCACCACACCTGGCACTTTTCCCTGCAACCGCAGGAAGTGCTACACCTGCCCCC